GGCTCCTGGAACAAACCCTGTGGCAGGAGCGGAGGGTGGCGACCGTTCACGTTCCACGGGCAGTTCGCTAAACTCAGCTTCTTGTCCCCGGGGACGCATCCGTGCAGACATCCAGGGAACCTCAGCCACCACGACTCACTCGCGAAACAGTCCCCGCCTCGCCGCGCGCGCCTCCGAGTGCGTTCGGCTTCCCGCGGGGCCTGCGGCGCTCGGAGCGGGAGGCAAGTTCACGCCCTTGGGGCTGGGTCTGAGTCAGGAGAGGGGCCTGAGAGGCGCAGCGCGAGGCCCGGGGCTCCTCCGGGAAGGCGGGGTGCTGACACGGGGACCGTCCTGCCGGAGCGCCTCGGACGGCCGCCTCCGCCGCGGCTGTGTTGCTGACCGAACCCGCCTGAAACGTTTTCTGTCTCTCCGCTCCTCACCGTTCTGCCCCTACCCAGCACCCTGCCAGCCTGCCAGGTCAGGGCGGTCTAAACCGGGGCCCCTCCCTCGGCTGGCACGTGCAACCGCAGACTCCCAGCCGCCCTGTCCGCCCGACCTGGGGGACGCTGAGCCGGCGGAAACCCGCGTCTTGTGGCAGGAGAGGACGGCGCCCACGCAACCCCCACACGTCCGCGCCCACGTGCACAAGGGGGGCCCGCGGAACAGCACACGTGGAGCCTCGGGACACCCCCACTGGGGCTTCCGGATCCCACCCCGTCTACCCTGACCCCTCGGGTCCCCGGGGGCTGCTATTTTGGAAGAACTGCCCACGGACAAGGGCTCCAGCGGAGGGGTTTCTCCGTGGAAGGAAGTCAGTGGTGCGGCCAGAGGCTGAGCGGGGCAGAGTCAGGCCTCTGACCCTCCCCCACCCTCGGCCTCCCGCCACGCCCAAGCAGCGCACTGTACGGGGCTAGCGGCCTAGTCTGGAATCACGGAGGGACCCCCCCAACGTTGCTCTCTGGAGTCAGGGTCTGAGCAGGAGCAGGGAGACCTTGTGCCCGGGGACACCTGCCGGCCTGGAGTCATGCTTAGTGCCCCCCTTCTACTCTCAGAAGTGGCCTGATGTGGACAATACATTGATGAGCTCATCTACTTTCAAGAATATGGAATATGTTGGGATACTTGCAAAACCCGTTCTGTAAAAGACCTTAAAACTAGGAGCTTTGGTGCTCCCAGGGCTCTGCTCGATGAGGCTCCCTGAGTCCATTCTGAGACTGATGTTTTAATTTGACATTTACAGGGAGCCTGGGTGGGTCGGTGAAGCATCTGCCTTTGGCTCAGGTCATGGTCCCAGAGTCCTGGGATCGAGTCCCTCGTCAGCTTCTCCCTCTCCCTCTGCTGCTCCCCCTGCTCGTGCTTGCACTCTCTGTCTCACCAGCAGATGAGTGAAGTATTGAGCAGACGCTCTAATTCGACATTTACAGATGGCTCCTCAGCCTTCAGGCTTTATGTCCCCTGCAGCCGCAGGGCAGGGGCCTGGGTCATGGCCATACAAACTCATGGACATTGATGGGCCCGCGGTGACTCACCCTCAGGCCGCGCACTATGGCTCCCGGCCGTGTCTGCAAGTACCTGCCGGGAGCAAGGAAGGAGCAACCATGCGAGCAGCTTCCCGGTCCTGGAAGAAACAGCCCAGGAAGTAAGACCTGCACGACTCCAGGCCGGGGTCGCCTCGCCAGCCCTCCAGCCTCCCTGGGGCTTCAGTGAGACCAGCAGGTGAAGTGAGGTGAACGTGCTTTTCCTGAGACTAGCTCCCTCTAACTTTCCATCGGGACATGGTTTTAGACTTCCAGAAGTGTTGTGAGAACAGCAGCTCTGTGACTGCAGGGGTCCCTCTGCCTCCCTTGCTCCTTCGTGCTCACGCTGGGTGGACGCCTAAACGCCCCGCACTTCGGGGGGCTGCCGTCTGTTCCTGCTGTTGCCTTGACACTCACTGTCGCAGGTTCAGGCAGAGTCCCCAGGCCCCCAGACGCAGCCCCTCTCCGCTCCAGCTTTCCCTCTTTCTGGGAAGCCCCGGTTCCCTTCAGCGCAGAACGGCAGCGGCTGCATTTCCAGTGTGTGCGTCGTGAGTCTAAAAGCAACGCGTGCTTGCCAAGACGTCGACGGGGTCGCCTGTGCGAAAGCCGGGCGGGGGCTGGGGAGGCCTCCGCTCAAAGCCCAGGGTCGCTTCGCCCTGCTGACTCAGGCCGGTCCGGCAGGCAGGCCAGCACCGCCACCGATGAGCTATTTGTGCGAAGAAAGTCGAACACAAATCTGACCAGACCCTTTGATCTGGTTACCAGCTCACGGGAATAGCAGGATAGACAGGCCCGGTGAGGGCACCACTGGGCGAGGGGAGAAAGCAGATGGGAGTGGAAAGGTGGGGAGACCTGAAAGTTGGAGGAGACTCAGAGAGTTACAAACACTCACGAGGCGGCCGGAGGAACGCACACTCCGACCCAGCAACTTAGTGATATTTAAGTAAACTCGTCGAGTTTTTTTAGATGTGAGAGTTTATTGCTGTTGACTTAAATGAAAAAGAGCCCTTAACTTTTAGAGACAAATCCTGAAATATTTATGGATGAGACACTGTTACCTCTGGAACTTGGAATTTGCCTCAGAAAAAGCCGAGAAATGGGGCACTTGGGTGGCTGAGTGGGTTGAGCCTCTGCCTTCGGCTCAGGTCATGATCCCAGGGTCCTGGGATCAAGCCCCGCATCGGGCTCTCTGCTCAGTGGAGAGCCTGCTTCCCCCTCTCTCTCTGCCTGCCTCTCTGCCTACTTGTGATCTCTGTCTGTCAAATAAATAAATAAAATCTTTAAAAAAAGAAAGAAAGAGCCAAGAAGGAGCATGGCCTACGGGCGGCCTCGGTGGCATACACGGAGCAGGAAGGGCCCCAGTCACAGCTGGACGCCAGGCGCACGGTGCGGTCCGTTGGGCCATCCCTCCTCCTCCATACGTTCGAGGCGTGAGCACACGCGCTGAGATGTGTGGTGCAGTGAGCAGACACATGCACCCTCGTGATAAGGTGTGTAGACGCCACTGCCAGGCTGTGTCTCCAAGACAGCATGTCCACGGCACAGAGGGTTTCTGGGTGGTGTCCACGTCTGCATGGCCAGATGAAACCCAGCAAGTTGGTTTGCTCAGGGGCTTTGTGCCCGAGTCCCGGGTTTGGGCCCAGGCTCTGCCTGTCGGCCCGGTGCTCCCCGAGCCTGGGAGAGGTAGACACTGAGGGTCTCCATGGAACAGCGCCACATGCGTCTCCCTGTCCACAGGCCACCAGGGGCTTTCCAAAGCACAAAATCAAGCGCGTCGACCCTGGTCAAACCCGGCAAAGCGTCCAACTGCTTCTGGCATCAAGGTCAAGATTCTTCACTTGGTTCATCAGGGCTTTGCATAGACTCGGACCCGGACTGTCTCTCTTCCCTCCATCACTTCAGCTCCAGGCACACTGGCCGCTGGCTCCCAGCCCCCACCCTCCCTGAGGCTGGGACCCTGGACGTGATTTCCCATCGACTGGACACCCCACGGTCTAGCCAACTCTTCCTCCACACGCCAGCCTCCAGGGAGCCCTCTGGAAACTCCAGACTGGGGTGCCTCTACCTGTCACCCTGTTTTCGGGGTAGCTTGACAGAGCCGGGCAGGGCCAGGCCACTTCTGAGAGTAGAAGGGGGGCACTAAGCATGACTCCAGGCCGGCAGGTGTCCCCGGGCACAAGGTCTCCCTGCTCCTGCTCAGATCCTGACTCCCGAGAGCAACGTTGGGGGGGTCCCTCCGTGATTCCAGACTAGGCCGCTAGCCCCGTACAGAGGGCTGCTTGGGCGTGGGGGGAGGCCGAGGGTGGGGGAGGGTCAGAGGCCTGACTCTGCCCCGCTCAGCCTCTGGCCGCACCACTGACTTCCTTCCACGGAGAAACCCCTCCGCTGGAGCCCTTGTCCGTGGGCAGTTCTTCCAAAATAGCAGCCCCCGGGGACCCGAGGGGTCAGGGTAGACGGGGTGGGATCCGGAAGCCCCAGTGGGGGTGTCCCGAGGCTCCACGTGTGCTGTTTCGCGGGCCCCCCCTCACTTGTGCACGTGAGCGCGGACGTGTGGGGGTTACGTGAGCGCCGTCCTCTCCTGCCACAAGACGCCACATTTCCAACTGTCCCATAAGCTCCGGGGGTGGGAGGCTTATCGCCATCACTGGACAGAGGCAACAGTGGGCCACCGCGTTCTCCCTTTCCTTAGGCCGGGAAGCTCTGTTCCTCTGCCCCAACACAGACTTGTCACCTTAGGGAGCTGAGAGTGGGCCCTCACCCTTTGGAACCACCAAGCCACACCAGTGAGGGGGTCATTAAGTCTCGGAGACCCGCTCACAATAAGAAGCTGAGTTTGTGACCACGAATAATGAGTGAATGAACTGGGGTCTGGAGCCAGACTTCCCAGCGACAAGCATGGACCCTGCCACGCACAAACCTGAGCAGGGCCCGCAGGGCCACAGCCTTCAGCCCCCTCAGCTGTGAGAGGCAGGAACACCACCGGCTCCCGGGACAGCCCTGGGAGGAGGGATCACCCTGGGGCGGGCCGCCGGCACTCAGTATCTTACTGCTAGCTGTCCCCCCCAGCTGCTGAGTTAGAAGGCAACTAACCATTTTGAATTGACTGGAAGTAACCCATAAACCAATGGACGAACAAGTGTTATTCTGAGACAAAGAACCTTTTCCATGGCAATACACAAGAGTCTCATGGGTATTTGATCCCAAATGAGGCTTTGTTCCAGTCCCGTAAAGACGGAAGGCTCCAAAAGAAGGTGACCAGCTCTGAGGGTTCTTGGCACCCATCAAACACGTGTGCCCGTGACACTCCCAGGGAATTCAGGGGCCACACTGGGTCTCTCCTGGGGCTGCCCTGATGGTGCTGAGAGCTGGGCAGAGGAGTGGGCAAAGCTGCTTTCCATCAGCCCAGCACAGCCAGGCAGAGATGTTTCAAAAGACAGTCGGAAGCCATTTCTGGCGTCGGGGAGTGAGCCCCGGTCTGCTGCAGGAAACACACCTCTCAACGTCATTCATAATATTTATTTTGGAAAAATATCTTAAAAAGGATTTTCTTCATTAACAAAACAGTAAAAACCTCCAATAGCATCTGCACAATATCCCATAAATACATTTATATACAAAAAATATATAGAACCGAAGTGCCTTTGTACATATTTACCAAAAATTTAAATTATAAAAAATGAACATCACAAAATACTCAAGCTTTACAGATATCATGAAAAATATTTTTACAAGTCCAAAAAATAACACACATTTTTTCCACCTAGAAAAAACACCTTTTAGTATCAAAAAGGACGATGAAGGCAGTGTTCGCGATTCTAACTCAAGAACAGACCGGCTCGTAAGTATCCAAGACACACACCTCAGGCAGCTCACGCTTCCTACGCAGCAAGTCAGTCCGTTCACTTAAATATATATCTTTTAAAAGCAACCGTCCATAGTGCAATGGAAACACCCGAAAAGGCAGTGCAACAGGCCCCCTCGGACGCTGTGGAGCGGCAGCCCGGGCGGCGTGCCGGCCGACCTCCGGGAGAGAACCGGCTCCGTCCGGATCGGCTCCCAGCAGCAGTCCGTGGGTCTCCCTTTCCTCTTTCAAGCAGCATCCACTGGGGCATATATCCTTGGAATTTTATTTATTTTAAGAGAAACGGGAATTTTGCCATATCACTTCCATTTTACACCTAGAGGGGCCCACAAGACAGAATGCGAGGTTAGTTCCAGAGAGAGGTCACTATCCTCTGACCTCTCCACCCGCTTCCGTCCTGAGGCCGGGCCCGGGGCGCCGCTGTGCCGCACACCGCGCACTGACCTCAGTCGCTATGACACACTCATCTTTCTCCTCCGAGATGACGTACACCGACTGGTACTTTGTGTCTTTTGCAGCGGGATACATGGAGTCTGGCCTCTTTCTTTCAGACGCGTCTCCGCTGAAAGGGGAAGAGCATCGAAATGAGCAGTGAAAATTGTTCTGGAAACGACCAGCGCCGGGCCAAGGGACGCCAGCGGGCCCCCCCACCCCGGCCTGCAGCGCCTGAGCGTGGGGCCCCCTCGCAGGCTGGCCCCCCGCGTCCCCGCCCGGCCCACCGCACGCACCCCCGGAGCGCCGGGACGCTCTTCTCCTCCGCTGCAGGGCCCTGAGGCTGGCACGTGGCGTCCCGCTTGCTGTGGGGGTCCCTGTCGGCAGTGGCGGCGTCCGCCTTGAGGTCCCGCACCAGGTTATAACCCCCAGCGGCGTAGCGGGCCTTGAGACCGTTTTTCTCAGCCCCGTGGTCCCCGTGGAAGTCGACCTTCTTGTTGGTGTTCTTGATCTGCGCGGCCCCGATAACACTGACGGCAGCGTCCTTCTCGCGCTGGCGGCTGGCCAGGTTGTTCATGGTCTCTGTCTCTGCGGCGGGCCGGGCCTTGTGCAGCCGCAGCCGCACGCAGACCACCACGGCGGCACAGCCCAGCAGCAGCACCAGCACCAGCACCACGCCGGCGCCCACGGCCGCCCAGGGGAAGGGCCCGGCCTGGCCCTCCACGTACTTCTCGGTGAGATCCACCACCACAGGGCCTGGCGCAGGCTCAGGCAGCAGGAACTGGCAGTTGGGGCCCCCGTAGCCCCGGGCGCACTCACACAGGTAGCGCCGGTCCCTCTCGTGGCAGGTGGCCCCGTTGTGGCAGGGCGCGTGCTCACACCTACTGACGGGGACACTGCAGTTCCTGCCTGTGTAACCGGGGGGACAGACGCACGAGTACTCATTCGGGCCGTCGTGGCAGCTGCCCCCGTTGGCACACGGGGAGGAGGCACAATCGTCCTCGTTGTCCTCGCAGCGCCTCCCAGAGAAGCCAGGCTGGCAGCGGCACAGGTAGGAGTCCCCGAGGCCCACGCACTGCGCACCTGGAACACAGGACACACCGGTGTCTGCCCCCGCGCTACACCCAGAGACGCGAGACAGGCCAGCCAGCCCTCAGCCCGAACCAGCTGCTGGCTACTTGGGACCCAGACCCCAGGGCAGGAGTCTGGTCTAGCTCAGTATACTGGGAGTCGGACGACTCGTGCGTCTGGAGCGGTCGTGTTTCGGCAGGTGCCGTGCACGACACACACTCACCTTCACAGCAGCCCACAAGGGGCCCAGGTGGCAGATGAGTAAATGGAGCCTGAGCGAGGCCAAGTGCTTGCCCTTGGCTCCACAGTTAGTGAGAAGAGCGGGGTTGGAAACAGAAAAAAAAAAAAAGGAAGAAAGGAAGGAGGGGGAGAGACCTCTGTCCTTCCCAAGCCAAATCACTAACCCTCCAGCTAGTCTGCCTCTCACGGTAAAGCCTCCAGTATTTCTGGTGGTCCCACGGATAGAAACCAACAGGAGGCAAAGCTCGGCCCCACAGGATGGCCACACCTTCTGGACAGCAGGTAGAAGGCAAAGGAACCGTGATTGTTCTCCATCAGTTATCATGGCCCGGCCTGTCTGGGGCCCAGCTTCGCTCCTCTACCCACTCGCGCAGCAGCGGGGGACCCGCCAGCAGACCACACTTCCGCACACACAGACACACCAGACGGTGATGTTTGGGTGACAGAGCCAAGCCGGGCTTCCCTCCAGAGACAGGGTGGCTGGGTTGCCATCGGAGCGCGATGCACTGCGTTACAGCCTGGACCCGAGCCCCTGAGGTGCTGCGTGACCTTGGGCAGCCCTCTCACCTCTCGCCTCAGGCTCTCCCCGCAGAATGTGAGAGTCCACACTCCTGTCTGCCCTCCTTGATCCCTGAGCATTTCCAGACTCACGGATACAATCTCTGTAAAGGGTTTCTGACTGTTTAGTTGAAAGGCTCCATAAACTCGGGGTAGCAAAATGCCATGCTTGGGTTAAAATTAAATGTGCTTTCTAATGCGTTCTTATCAGTGTTGAGCACTCGCCAAAGTCTCCGAGCGGACAGGGCTGCCCTCCTACCATTAGAGCAGGGTGAAGAGCTGCAGGAATCCACCTTCTTCTCACAGTTAAAGCCGGAGAAGCCCCCAGGGCAGCGACAGGTGTAGCCTCCCTCGGGGTTGTCCGAGCACCGTCCCCCATTGAAGCAGGGGCCGTCGGCACACGCCATGGCACTTAGCTCGCAGATTCGGCCGTAGAAGCCAGGCGGGCAGGTGCAAGTGTAGCTGTTCTCAAGATCCTGTGTCGTGGAGAAGAGACAGAGCGCTCACACCTGGCTCCGAACGGCCCACGCCGTGCGGAGCTAACCCAGGCCCCATTCAGCAGGAGGACCTGCTGCGGCCGGACTCACCGTGCAGCTGCCTCCGTTCCTGCAGGGGCTGGTGCTACACTCGTCGATCTCCGCCTCACAGTCGGCCCCCGAGTAACCCGGCCGACAAGAGCAGGTGTAGCTCCCCTGGCCCGTGTTGGTGCACGTGGCCCCATTCCTGCAGGGCTTGTGGTGCGTGCAGTAGTTCAGGTCTGCGAGGGGAAAAGACGGGAGGTTGGGGCTACACTTGGAGTCCTCAGTAAGGCCGGGAAGCCTGGGGCTGCTGCGTGAGGAGGAGGCTCACCCTGGTTGCAGAAGAGGCCGCCCCAGCCCTCCTGGCAGTTACACTGCCACGGCTGCTGGCAGGTGCCGTGGAGACAGCCTGGGTACCGAATGCACTGGTCACAGTACCGGCCCTGCCAGCCCACTCTGCACCTAGGACAAGAGCAGCACAGTCAGGCGGGCACGGGCGTCCCTGGGCTCCCGGACGCACACCACCGACTTGCGAGACACGGTCTTGCAGCAGCACCAACCCCGCTGGCTCGCAAACAAGGCAGAACACTGGTGTCTCCCTGGGAGCTTTCCAACACACCAAAGCCTCAAAGGGTCTGACTTCGGGGCATGAGGGCCACTGGGACTGTGTTTTTACAGACTCCTCAGGTGGTCCTAATATGCCAAAATGTTTGAGATTCCCTGATGTAGACCCATTTTCTATGTCAATTCCTTGCCAAGGAATCTGTAAGTTCCCATACCCACGGAAGCACGTAGGGGACTGACAACCATGACCCTACGTGTTCTATACACTTACTAAGGAGAAACACCAGAAAAACGGTCAGCTGATCCTACCAGAGTTTTTCAAACGAACACCTAGTGCTACCTTACAAATACGCTAGGGGTAAAAGGTAACCAGGAAAGGGAAAAGCACTTCTGCACACTTACTTGCACTCCCCTGGCTTGTCACAAAACCCATGCTGCTCATCACATCCTGGCAAGCAGATCGCTACAAGCAAAGAGAACACACAGGGTCAAGCCCCACCCCAAGTGCCCCCCAGCATCACGGGGGCTGCCACCCCACATGGGGGACAGCAAACTTGTCCTGCTCCACTGGCAACCCCAGCTGAGCTCCTCCCATCTGTGGGGGACTGCAGGTCCTGCCCAGTAACGGAGGACTCAGCCCCAGGGCCAGCATTCTTCTTAACGCAGTGGCTCCAGCACAAAAGGGCACGGAAGCCCCCACCCCCACCCCATCCCCTTTTCTTCTGAGAGGGTCAGAAGTCCTTCCCCCTCCTCCTCCCCCACTTCCCAATTCTCTGCACAAAGCTCCACCTCGTAATACCCAGAAAGTGTGTGTGTAGATAAGGGTGGACAGCTGGTGTGCAGAGCACCAGGGCAGGACAGCTGCTCTATTGTCTCTGCTCCCCAGCAGCTGCCCGCGCGCAACAATACTGCCTCCCCCGCCCCTCGCCCCCCCCCGCGTGCGCGCGCGCACACACACACACACACACACACACACACACGCAAGTGCGCACGTGCGCGCGCGCATACACACACACACACACACACACACACACACACACACACGAACGCGCGTGCCCGTGCACGCCCTTCCCACCAATGGGAGCCGGTGTGAGTTTCTGCCGCCTATCCCCAGAGAGATCTAATCGATGGCACGCGCTAGCTGGGGGCGGGGAGAGACTCCAGTGTTTGAATAAGAAGAAAAAAGTTTAAGTTTCGGCTACCCTGCAGCGAAGAAGAGGAGGGAGGGGAGCAGGGATGCCACGCAGCAGGCAGGAGGTCCCCGCGGGGTGGGCACTGAGGCTGAGCAGGCCGCCTTCACTGGCTTACGAAACGCGTCCACAAGCTGCCCCGCGAGCGTGGAAGACAACACTGCCGGCTGCGGCCCGGGCGGAGCTCAGACAAGGCCTCAGAGGCTGTGAAGACCTACCCTCAGCCCCAGGCAGCGATCAAAACCGGGAACTGTACCTCCCAGGCAAGGGGTTCTGGGCCTACCAAGGAGGGCTGGAGGGTCACCGGCTACGGGAGGACAAGGAAAAGCCCCATGGCTTTCTGGCGACCTCCAGAGCCCCCTGCACCCCTGACGGGAGGGGAGCCTGACACAGGGGTGTGTGACGCCTCCACAGGCTGGAGAGAGGCCTACAAGCTGAACTGGGCCCGGGGCCCGCGCGAGCCTCCTGACCTCCAAGGCCTGGCTTCCTGCACCGGGGCAGCCCCTGACTACCTGGAGAACGCCGGGCAGTGGGGCAGGCGCGGCCCACTCATGTCTGTGAAGGTATTTCTTTGCCAGGCAGGGGGCTGTGCGAGCAGCACACAAGCTGGTGGGCACAGGGCCCAGCACTGGCAGGTGGGCCCCTCCCCCCCAGCCTCCGCAGACCCAGGCCTCAACACACATTCTCTCTTGTCCACAGACCCCACGAGTGAAAACGTCATGAACGACGTGTGTGTGGGTCACACGGAATGTCTGCAAACACACTCACTCTGCGAAGAGGCCCCGCACACCAGCTCTGGAGAGAAACAAGCGCTGTCACAGCAAGGAGAACCGGGGTGAAGCCCGCCTACACACACAAGCTCTCCTCTCTGGTCCTCCCTTCCTTCCTCCCCTCCCTCTCCCTTGGGCTCACTTCCTGACCCCTGGCCCCGTCTCCAAAATCCTCCCTGATTAAGAAAGGCAGCTTCCCATAGCGGAAGTGAAAATGTCTAGGCTGACCCCAGCCCTGCCACTGGCTAGCTGTGAGGTCTTAGCAAGTTTCTCCAGCTCTCTGGCCTCGGTTTCCCCACCAGAGCTTTCCTCCAGTGCTGAAATCCCAGGATCCCCCCGGCTCACAGAACATTCCCCTGCTCCCTGGGAGCTCGGCCTGGACGTGGATCAAGGGAGGGAAGCAGGAACTCACGTTCGGTGCAATACTGGCCTTTCCAGCCAGGGTTGCAGACTTTTTCCCCTCTCTCCCCACAGGTGAAGTGGCCAAAAGCATCATCTCGGGGTCGACAGAAGACAGAGCAGCCCTCCCCGTAGTAATGTTCATCACACACGAAGCGGTAGGAGTACTTGAGGTCTGTTCGACCGCTGCTGTGCAGGTCCTGAGACCACTCCTCGCCCACCGTCAGGTGCCTCTGTGTGGCCAGACGGCTGATGAGTCTTTCTGGGTTTTCTGTAGGGAGAGGAGGCCACCATGGGTTCTGACTGAGAGCACAGGGGCTTGGGGCCCTGGGAGAGCTGGCACTGTCATGAAGGGGAAGGGGCCAGAGGTCCTCTGTCCTGAACCGTAGGCAGGAACTCGCAGAATGAGGGTCTACAGGAGCTTGTTTCTGATGGAGACATTGAATCGAATACACACCAACTGGGGAAGCAGTTCACTCAGTTTTGGGGTCTGGGGCTTGTTGTTACCTGTTGTGAGGTCATCAGGAGAATCTGTGTGGAGAGCCTCAATGATCAGGGAGAAGGTGCCCTGGAAGAAGTGGGAGGAGACCTCAGCTAAAGCAGAAATGTTAGAAAACAAAGCCCAAACCCAGGCACTGGGGACAACCAAGCCACTAAGGGTCTCCCTGGCAGATCCGTTGGAGGGGGGGTGGGGTGCTGTACAGCTCTTGTCTGTTTTCACTTTCCTTAAGGAAATGGGAGAACTTTTTAAAGAGTGGTTTCCTGATGTGTTTTTTCAGCCTGTTAGTACAGGATATCACGTCTGAAAGAAAGAAAGAAAGAAAGAGAAAGAAAGAAAGAAAGAAAGAAAGAAAGAAAGAAAGAAAGAAAGAAAGAAAGAAAGAAAAGAGGCCCCGCAGGAGCACAGGGCTGGAGGGGGTTGTCATCGGGCGGGAGTGGGGGGGCTGCACAGAGAGGGCCAGGGGCTGTCACGCTACCAGGGTAGCTCGACACCCAACCGGTCTAGTCTCAAGAGCACTCGCCCGCGGGAAGGCGCTCACGGACTGGGGCTCCGTACCGCGGCCAGACCCCCGCACGTCCCCGGTCCCGCGCCTCGCCGCACCTCGGCTGTCACTCCCCCGCCGCCTGGGGGGCACTCCGGGCGCGCGGGCGAGGCTCCGGGCCCGGCCCCCTCCGCCGCCGCCCCGCACACCCCTCCTGCGCACCCTCTCGCCCCCGGCCCGGAGGCCGCGCTCACCGGCCAGGTGAAGCCGAAGGGGAAGCGGATGGGGTTGCTGAAGGCGGGGTCGGCGCCGGCGCCGTCGGGAAGGCTGAAGGAGTCGACGCCCAGCACCGGCGTGACCGCGCTGCCGTAGGTGCAGGGCGGCTCGGGGGACACGCTGGCCTGGTAGTGCTTGAGGCACACGCGGAAGAAGGTCCTGCAGGCGCACGGCGGCGGCCCCGCGCCCCCGCGGCAGCAGTTGCGGTTTCCCAGCAGCCCCTTCTTGTTGACGAACTCCTGCAGCTTCAGCTCGAACACCCCGGAGCTGCAGACCTGCGGGGACGGGCGCGGGCGTGAGGGCGCGCGGAGCGGGAGGACCGCGGGCGGCGCCGGCCCCGCTCTCCGCCGCTCCGTCTGCGCGCGGCCTGCGCCCCGGGTCCCCGCCGGGGTCCCCCCCGCGGACGACCCACCTGCCGCCGGGCCGCGCGGACCCCGAGCTCACGACTCACCTGGCACAGCAGGGCTGACAGCACGGCGAGGGCGAGGGCGCACCGGCGGCCCATGGTGCCGCGCCGGACTCGCTCGGCCGGCCGCGCCCCCCGGTTCCCGTCCCGAAGCCGCAGGGAGTGCGCGGGGGTGGCCGTGCCCCGAGCGGCGCGGGCAGAAAAGCGCCGCCGCTCGGCCCCAGGCTGGGGTGACCCGGACTTCTTTCTTCGGGAGCTCGGTCCCTTCCCAGGCCGCGGTTCCGCGGATCCGCCCTTCGGGGGCGACGGCAGCTCGGGATGCACGAGAAAGAGCTCCGGGAGGCGGCTCGTGCGGCCGCAACTTTCGGTTTTCCTCCTCCTCCCGACCCGCGAGTGGGTGAGGGTCCTCCGCTTCCTGGTTTTGTCTCAAGCTTCTTTGAAGGAAGAAAAAAGAAGAGGGAGAGCGAGAGCGTCCAGATATTCGGCTTAATTCCCAGAGAGCTGCCGACGCTTCCTCCGAGTCCGATTAGAAACCCGCGGTCTGCAAATCCCACGCGCGAGGCGACAATCCCGGGGCCCCGGCGGAGCGCGCGCAGGGACGCCCGGCGGCGGCGGGGGTGCGCGGCGCGCCCCGCGGCTCGGGCCCGTGTCACTCGGCGGCGGCGGTCGTTCCCGGAGCGCCCTGAACTCGTGTCCCCTGCGCGCCCGCGGAGACACGCGTCTTCCCGGAGAACCCAGCCGGTGCCATCCACGTCAACAGCGCGGGGTCCGAGCGCAGGGCGGCGGGTGGCGGGCGGAGGCGCTGCGCCACGGCGACGCGTCCTCTGCGCGCCGGGGCCGGCCGCTCTCCGCGGGTGCGCGCCGAGGTCTGCGCTCGCCGGCGCCGGCTGCCCTTATATCCCGCCGGCCGCCCGCATGGCTAATGAGATGCAAATAAGCAGCCCCCCAATCTGGCGAGAGCTGTCACAAAGGAGCCACTTTTCCAAACCCTCCTCTCAATGGATCGCCAAATGGTCAGTGAGCTGTAAAATGTGCAACCTCCTCCCCGCCCCCACACCTCCCCGCCCCCGGCCCTCCTCTGCCCCCGCCCCCAGCCCCCCGCCTTCCTCCACACCACACAAAACGCGCTCATTTACATTCCTGCAAAATGTTCGCCGCGAGAGTCCTCTCCGCTCCCGAGGCGGGGGCCGCGGCTCCGGCCCCTTGGCTCTCCCGCCGGCCACAGGCCCGCGGAGGCCCGCGGGGACACGCGGGGACGCGCGGGGGCGGCGCGGCGCCTCCAGCCCCGCCGAGTGCTGCCGGCCTGGAGCGGCCGGACGCGGCCTGGGAAAGAAACTCTCGGGGCCGCCGCGGCGTCCGCCCGCCGTCTCCCTGCGCGGGCCGTGTCCCGGGGTCTGGGGCCCCGGGGCCGCTCCTTCTCCAGGGCAGCCCCTTCCTCCGGAGGAGCCTGGCGGGGGAGGTGGGGGGGGCGGGGGCCGGGGGCTCGGTAGGAAGGGGGCGGGCGCGAGGAGAAAAGGGCAGAGGGCGGCGAGCGCAGCGGCAGTTTGGGGAAGTTTGGGAAGGTCCGACACCGACCAGCCACCGGCCGAGGACGGCGGCTCTGCGTCCGGGAGCGCAAAGCCGGCATGCAGGGCAGGGCTGGGGGCGAGCGCGGCGCCCCCGGGGACCCCGGAGTCCGCGCGCTCACGGTGTCCCTGCACCAGTCCGAGGCCGCTGGTGGGGGCGGGGTCTGGGGAGCGATTCCTCCCCACCCCCGGCCGCCAGGGAGATCCCAACTAGTCCCCCCACCCCACCCCGCGTACACACACGCGCACGCGCGCACGGGCGCGCGCGCACACACACATGTCCTTCCCGGAGCGATTCTCGGCCACCATCACCTTTCCTGGGTGTCCAGCCCCTCTCTCCTGGGTATTCCCCCCTCGGCCTCCCTCCGCTTGGTTAAAAAGTGAGTTTGGTGTGTGTCGTTCGCGTGGCTGTCATTAAGGCACTCTGTTATTGTGCAAGGCTGAATCAGTGGTTCTTTGTGCGCTCAGCTGTATGGTAATGCAGACCGCACCTGCTCCCCGCACAATGCCGAGAGAAAGAGCTCCCCTCCGCGCGCGCCGCGGCCTCTGCAACACTGTCCCGCACATGTTCTAAAGACCCTCCAGCCCAGCCCCCCCGACCCGAAATCTTTACACAGCCATCACCTTATTAGGTTTTTACACGTCCATCAGACACTAGAACTTTTGTTTTCATTTTTTTAAAGGGAAATGAGTTTATTGGGAGGGCCGAGAACACACGTATCACACAATGAATTATCTAAATTGCTCTCATGCTTTCGGGCTCAATGCAGAATAAGGTGGGGCATAGACTCCTAGTCCGGCATCCAGCTTTATGCTGGGCACACTTCGAGGTCTCTTTCCCAACCCTGTCTGCTCCTCCTCAGCCTCCCCCAGCACCACCTAGGGCAGCTTCATTAGGATGGAAGGTGTGACTGTTGGAGTAAATGTCACTCCGCTGGTGGCACAGCCCCAGGGTGCCGGGGCACAATGGCCTCGTCCCTGGTGTGCTATAGTCCCCTTATGGGTGGGACCTGGCACTGTCCCAGCAAAATGGGATTTTCATTGCGGCAGGTGTGGAGATCACACAGCATCGCGCCCTGCACAGGGAGAGGGAAATACCAAGTAAAACCCTGCAAACAGCAATCTCAGAATTGCTTGCTGAAGTCACCTACGACCATCCCTCTGGCTGTCAGGCAACAAGACCCTTGATTCCTTGGCTCACAAACACCTGTTTCTGGACTGACAGGTCTGTAGACTTCAGGTTCTCCACCGCTGCATCATCGCGGAGAAGCAAAGAATTAGTCGGAAGTCCTGTGCAGGGTGAGGTGAGAAAGGCAGGCTTGGACTCCAGCAGAACCCCTACTGTCTGGTTCAGAACAAATGGAGACTTCAAAGGTACTGCCCCCCCCACCCCAGGATGGTAGCAATCCCAGTTTGGTCACCCTTTGCGGACTTTGTGCGGATGTGCTACCTCCCCACCGGGCTGGGTCAGCATGAACCCTAATTTAGTCTTGCCACCTAGTGTCAGCATCCTTTTCCCACTACATCCATGTTTCCTCTGAAAGCCAATTTCTGAGAACTTTGCTCTCTCCAGCACAGAAGCTGGTGTGTGTGTGTATGTGTGTGTGTGTGTGTGTGTGAGAGAGAGAGAGAGAGAGAGAGAGATGGGGGGAGAGAGAAGGGGGGAGGTGAGAGGGTTCCAGGAGCAGGGGAGCCACAAAAGAAGAAAGGAATGTGAGCTGTAAATCCTCTGTGCCTCTGAGACCAAGAGTAGATTTCAGTAAGAAATGAAATTTCAGGAACCTTTTAATTAGAAAATGGAAGTGGGAAACAGTCTCATGTGAATGCCTGTTTAGAAAACTGGAAATAAAAAGTTCCACGCGCGAGGGCTTAAACCTTGGGGGGAAAAGACTTGCCCCAAATCTTTAACAAACCCCCCTCAGTATCAAGTATTTGTTCAACTGACGTGGCACAGATTTCTCGATTACAGCGGCAAAGCGGAACTGAAAGGCATCGTAAAATCCATCAGAACCCTTCCCAAAGCGCTCATTCTTTTCCAACTTAATTTATGCCACGCGATTCTGTATTGGGGAAATCAAGCAGAAAGCCCTTTTCTTCTCCTTCCTCCTCCTCCTGTTCTTTCCTCTTCTTTCCTCCTCCTCCCCATCATCCTTCTCCTTCTCCTCTCCTCCTCCTCCTTCTCTCTCTCTCTCTCTCCCTCTCTCTCCCTCTTCCCCACCTCACGCTGGTCCCTCTCCCCCTCTCCCTTTCAAAGCTGAGCTAACGGGAGACTGTTTAACTTCTGTGTTTCTGTAGGGGCCTGTTGTAGTTTAACTCCTGCACACCAGTAGCTGAGATGAACAAAGGAGAGACTCGAGGTCCAACTATTCATCCTTTCTTTGCACTTTAATTTTCATTGATTGGGAAGACAAGGGGAGCCCTTAGGGATTCAGGCTGAAGGGGGATGACACGCCTTTAGACGCCATCAGCCCCCTAGCCAGCCATCTGCTCCGAACCAAATGGCGTTTTTTCACTCCCTAACTGCATGTCTCTATACTCCTGCAAAGAAGCACTCTGAACCCCTAAATACAGGAGGCGCTCAAGCTGGGGTGTGGTAAAAGGCCGGCCTCCACATGGGCCCTGGCAGCCAGAGTCTCCCCTCCCTGCACACCATAAATCCTACCTTGCTCATTAGGAAAAAGCAGGAAACTTTCTTTTAAATACTTTTTGATTTCTCAGCAAATTTACTGTACAAAGTGAGGCTCAATTAGGCCTTAGAAGGCACCCAATCCATCAGACGCAGGAGAGGACAGAGAGATTTGCCACCTGGTGGTGGTGGTTTATTTTTGCCGGGCACGGGTAGCTCAGAGCCTTCATAACCCCAGGTGCTAGGTACGCTCAGGTCGTATGACCATCAGAACTGTACCTACGACAGCTGCTGCTGAGTTCTGTTTACCGGAGACCCTGATTATTTTCCCCACCATTTTATTGGGCCACATGGGAATAAAAGCTCACAGCCATCATTTTATAAAATTAAATATGCCCATCTTCAATCGTGGTGAGACCAAGTGCTGTGGTCACTCAAACCTGATTCAATCCCCTTTGCCCAAAGAAAGGTTCTATTCTGAAGGTATGTGTGTGGTGGGTGTTGTGGGTAGAGGGAGGAGGGTCAGGGCACATTGCAAAAAACAATGCCCAGAATAGGCTGCTGACTGGGCCGCAGGTTTAGTTTTCTGTGTAAACAAGTCTGGAGACGAGAGTGGTGTTTGTGTTTTCTTAGACCAACTGAATGAGGTATACCCAACAGAGAGGTTCTCTTATTCCTAAGAAGAATTAAGGTCCTTCTTCTGAACAACAAAATAAAAAACTTCCAAGCAGCGAATCTGGTGTTGATCAAACGGCCAGGTTACCTGAAGAAGTGGGGGTGGGGGCTAAAACATGTTTATTAATCAGTATCACACCCCCCACCAGTGCGTACCATCTCCCACCCCTTCTCCATCAGTCACAGTTTGGGAATCTTTTTTTTTTTTTTTTTTAACCATACAATGCTACTACAGTACCATTGACTGTATCCCCTGTGCTGTACCTGTCATCCCCCCGACTTACTCCACAACCTCCCACAGCAGTTTGGGAATCCCAAAGCTGTTAAAATCCCAGGGGAATTGACTGGAGGCTTGTCACTCAGGAGTCTACAGCAGCCCTACGCGTGGTGTAGCTACTCTGGATATTTACTTCTCATTTCTTAAGCTGTCGCAAGGACTGCATCCCAGAGATCCGTGCACATTCACAAGATGCACACTCACCCCAGTGTCTACAGATTTGTTTAGACTTGAGGGAGCTAGGTGTGGATCTCCCGGGTTGAGGATACACTCTGACCTAAGCCACCATCCGCACCCAGCAGGGAGAGCGGGGGCGGGGCAGAGCCGGCTTCCGTTTAGAGACTGGAGGCTTCCCTGTTGCTGGGGACTGAGCACACCTCGAACCCCGGGAGGCCCCATCCGGTAGCCTCTTCTGACCTCCTTGGCCGCAGCCCCCCCAAAGGAGAGCTGGCCCGGCAGCCAGCCAGGACAGCAGCTATGGGCCCCAGGTTCATGTGGGGCGGGGTGGAGGGGGGTGGCAGGAGGACAGAGCCCAGCGGGGGAAGCAATGGCCCTGACAGTGTCTCCGAAAGCTTTGCTTTCTAAGCGCAGGCCGGCCGCTGGAGCCCCCAGGAGTGGGACGGTGGCCTTCCTTGTGGCGCAGGGTCACGGCGTGTCGGATAACCTTTCTTTTGAGGGCGGCCGGCCGCCGTGGCGCGGAGAGGAGGGACTGTCCCAAGCCCACGTGGTTGGCGGGTCTCGTTTGGTTGTCGGGGTGCGGCGCACGGGGGGCACCCCAGCTCCGCGGGCACGGGGCGGCGGGTGGAGGCCGCAGGTCCGCAGCAAGTTGCAAAGGCATGTGCTGATTTGCATGAGAAAGGGCGAGTCGCGTGCTCAGCTGGCGGCCCCGGCGCAGATGACGGGTCCCCACCCCCCGCGCCGCTCCCCTCCCCCGCCCCGGGCCGCGGCCGCCGCTTCCCGAGCCCGCGGATCATCTGCTCGGGCTGTCCCGCGCTCATCTCCATGACAAAGCGCGTGTTTACCTGGCCCAGCACCGGCGGGCGCGCCTTTGTCCCGGGTCGGATGACCGCGCAGCTGCTCCCGCCGCCGCGCGCCCGCCCCGAGTGGCCCCTCGGAGCTCTGCAGCGATTGAGCGCGCCAGGGCCGGGAGGGGGGGCGCGGGGCCCGAAGCGGCTGTAGCGGACACTGGCGCAGTGCCGGAGGGCTTCCCAGAGGTGGTGGCGGCGCCGAGCGGGGCGCTTGTTCGAAGCAGTGTCTGTGCGGGGTCAAAAGGGCCAGGCGGGCATGGACGCCCCCCCACCCCGCCCCCGAGCCACTGACAGGTGCGGCGCGAGGAGGCGCAGGGCCACCCCGCGGACCCAGGTCGACTTGGGGATGGTTCCACGCCAGCCGCGTCCATGCAGCCGGGGAGGGGCCCTTGCAGCGACCCCACGGGTTGGCGGGGACCACGGGGTCTCCAGCCGGGCCTCGGCGCGCCCTTTGTGCCCTCCCGATGGGTGCGGCCGCTGGGATCCCAGACGCCCACGCCGGGCAGCGCGGCCAGGCCAGGAAGGCTCGCCGCTCCGGGTCACCTGCGCGAACGCTTGGTCCCTTGCGCAGGCGTCGCACCTGGGAGCTGCGGCCCTGCACTTGGCAGACAATGAGGAGGGGAAGAAAAGGCGTCGAGGGGCGCCTTTCGGCCGGGCCTTTCCCCAGGCCTTACTCTCCCAGGACGCGCCCCGCCCGGGGAGGTCTCGGGCACCTGTCGCCTTGTCCCTGGGGCGGCCCGTCAATCACGCGGCCCGCGGGGGCGGGGGCGCGCGGGGGCTTCGGCCCCGCGCCCCAAGACTCTAAAACGGAGTCGCCCGGAAACGTGGCGCAGCCCTTGCCCTCCCCACGGAGGGTCCCCGCCGGACCGCGCAGCCCGAGGCCGCGGCCCAGGAGCCCTGGGCGAGGCGAAGCTTTCGAGCACGCTGTCCTTCCCTGGCCTCCCCACCTCCCCTTTTCTGTGAGCATCTGCCCGGGGAAGAACAGATGTGGGCACCTGCGGTGACAGGCCGCATATGTTCCATCCTATTCACAGGCATTCAGACGTGGCCACAATGAGCAGCCTTTGTGCGCGCAGTCACTAAATATATTAATCTGCACTCCCCAGAGCACCGGGCTGTTTAATTTTTCACTAGCAATAACATCTGATCTAATCCTTAAATCGGCTCCCAAAAGCCTGCCCTCCCGCCCTCCTTTTTTTCCCCACCCCCTCTCCCGAAAAACGTGTGAAGCTATTCAACCTTCCACCTGTTGCTGAACTGGGCGTGGGTTCTCGCAACATCTGAGGTCGGTCGGGCAGGGGGTGGGGGTAGCTGGGAGCGACTGTGTGGGGGCCGCTGTTGGGCCACATGGGCATAGCTCCGGCATGTTTATCAGAAGGAAAATAAGCACAAAGTGCCGAGTGTGGCTCCCCAAATGTTGTGCAAACAAAGAATGATAATTATTAAACAGCTTCCAACCCAACCCAGCATGCCCACCCTTTCTGTGGAAGCGCCCTTAAAAATGTACATGAAGTCCCCAATTATCTTTTTGTTTATTAAACTCCAGCGGTTGTTACAAACACTGGCCAACAGGCCACACAGCCAAGAGGTAACATAAATCTCAGATGTAAGACTTGGGTTTTTTAAGCAATTTTGTGGCATGACTCTTTTATCTTAGCACCCTTATTCTGTTTTGATTTGTTTTCGGCCACAATGAGTCCTTTAGTGCTATTGTGGGTGTCACAATGCAGACGGACATCAGGCTGTGAATGAAGACAGAGGCAGTTTAAACAGACCAGGCTCTTTCTTTCCTTCCAGTCCATTGTAATACGAATGGGCCTTCTGCACTCCGCTGCTAGGAGACCGGCTTTGCAAAGCCTTACTCCAGCAAACGGGCTGGAGAGAAAGGGACCCCAATAAACAGCCTAAGTATCGGAGGAGAAAAAAGAAAAAACAGGGGACAAGTTTAGGCAAATGTCTTTTCACCTTCAGATCAGTACATTTCTTAGTCTCAAAATGTAATCTCAGGCTTTCTTGAGCTGCATTCCTTGCTTTTCAAACAGTTTCCTCCCTTCGCACCATTAAATTTTTAGTCCCTCCCCTGTGCCACCTTCCAGGAAACAGAATGGGGACAGCACTGGCACTCCATCAAGGTTTGCTTTCAAAATACTATCTTCTTTTAGGAAACTAGGAACAGGGCGGTGGCTGTTCATCAATCATTATCACTAATAACTAATGACTGCAAAGTGCTTCAGATGTATGCTGGTCGTTGCTGGTAGGTATGGAGGGGCAAGACTGCTAAGTCTGGATTTTTTTAGGAATAGTAACACCTTTTGCTTTCTTTTAATGGTAGGTGGAACTGTTCTTATTTACATTAATTAATTAATTGAAGTGAAAAATGTAGCTGTTTTCAGGTTGTTAAGGGTCCAGTGTGAGTGTGTTATGAATGACCCACCACCACCTTCATTTCTCAGTGGCTAGAACCAGTCACAGGCCACCACAGAACCAACCGCAGTGAAGGCAATGGAAAAACCGAGACTGGCTTATGGAAATAACTGTTCAAAGCTGGGGCCATGGTCAGACCCACTTGCCCAAAGCACATGGCATTTACTCATTTACTCATTCATGAACTCACCTGTCTTAGGGGCCGGAAGTCCAAAGTCAAGTTAGACCTTCTTTCCGCCACTTACGTGCGTTACACAATGAACAGAGAAGTCTTTCATTTTCAGAGTTTGTATAGGATTAATATGTTTTCCCTAAATGTTTGATATAATTCACCAGTGAGGCTACACGGGTCTGGAGTTTTCTTTCTTTTTTAATTTTTTTTAAAGAATTTATTTATTTATTTGACAGACAGAGGTCACAAGTAGGCAGGGAGGCAGGCGGGGGCTGGTGGGGGAAGCAGGCTCCCCGCTGAGCAGAGAGCCCGATGCAGGGCTCGGTCCTAGGACCCTGGGTTCATGACCTGAGCCAAAGGCAGAGGCTTAACCCACTGAGCCACCCAGGCGCCCCTGGAGTTTTCTTTATTGGAAGGTTTTTACCTGGAAATTCAGTTTAACAAATAACTATATGGCTTAATAAATACAGGGTTACTTAGAAAATTTTTTAAAGATCTTATTTATTTGACAGAGAGAGAGAGTGCACAAGCAGGTGGAGCAGGAGAGGGAGAAACAGGCTCCCCACTGAGTGGGGCTCCATCCTAAGACCTGGGGATCATGATCTGCGCCAAAGGCAGACGCTCACCCAACTGTGCCATCTGGGCACCCCTCAGATTTTCTATTCTTCTTTGGTTCAGCGAATTTGTCCACCTCATCTAAAGTTGCTCAAATTGTCTGCTTTTAACCATTCAGTGTAAGTAAAATCTGTGGTCCCGTCTTCCATCGTGAGTGTGAGTGGTCTCTGTCTTCTTCTCGTTGTGGTCACTGTGGCTGATGGTTCATCAGTTTCATGGATACCAAGGAACCAGGCTTTCGTCTCACTGATGGTCTTTGCTGACATAGGCAGAAAATCACGGCAGTCACCAGGCTTGTTTTCCTTCCTTCAGGAATCTCCATCCTCTACTTCCTGTTTCTAGTGGCTGAAAATAGTAATTTCATATATTTTGTCTAGTTTTCTAGTTGTTTAAAGTGGAAGGACAAGTTCTGTAGGAATCACCCTTTCGCAGGCAGAAGCCGAAACAGGGTACCCAGCAGCAAGTAACAGGAAACCCTAACTCAGCACTCACAGCCCGAAGGAAGGGACATCACCAAAGAGAATGAAGAGGCAGAGCAGTCTCGGTGTTAGTTAATTTTTGGCTCACCCACATTGTCCAGGCACAAGATGCCCCCCATGTTTCTGCTCCAGTGCTCTCAGATTGTTGGCCGAAGTGTTTGGTGGGCTCCCTTCCATGGCTGTGTGAAAGCTGCTGGGACCCGGAATTCCCAAGTAAACATAATGACGACCAGTAGAGGAAGACGTACATTGTCTTTCTGTATGCCATTTTCACCAGCAATGAAACACTTTGGTAATATTTAGAAGTCAGTATATTGTTATGGTGGGGCTTTTTTCTTTCCCAATTTTTAGATGGTGAATTATTATTCAAATAAAACCACATCAACCCGGGGCACCTAGGTGACTCAGTCAGTTGGACGCCTGTCTTCAGCTTGGGTCATGATCCTGGGGCCCTGGTATCAAGCCCCATGTCAGGCTTCTTGCTGGGGGGAGGCGGGGAGCCTGCTTCTCCCTCTCCCTCTGACCCCCACTGTGCTTGCTCTCTCTTTAGTGCTTTCTCTCTCTCGCTCTCTCAAATAAATAAAATTTTTTAAAAAACACATCAACCCACGTGGTTGCTGCATTCAAAGAAATTCAGCTCAGCATTCAAATAAAATTAAAACTGACTCCGAATAAATTTTGAAGGCTATTTGTTACCAAGAGAAACCTGCCCTAATCCCGTGCTTCCCAAAGTCATTTCATGCTCATTTCTTCTCTCACAGTTGATGTGAAGTCTTTCTCTTCAACATTTTACTCTCCCTAGTTCCCTTCTCCCTACTTTCAACTGACGGGTTTTTTTTCTTCTTCCCTTTCCTATTTTTCTTTTACAAAAATCCCCCATCCCATTTTTAGATTCTCCCTGAAACTGATGTCTCCTTCATTTCTTTTCTTTCTTTTCTTTTCTCCCCCTCCCCATTCCGCTCTCCTCACCCTCCCTTTCCTTCCTCTTTCAGAGAGGGGCAGGAGAGGGAGAGAGAGAATCCCAGGACCCCGGGATCATGACCTGAGCTGAAGGCAGATGCCTAACGGACTGAGCCACCCAGGCGCTCCTGCTCTTATATTTCTTAAAAAAGGGTCTCTTAACGCTATGTCTTCCGTTCTCACTTGCGTATATTGTCTACGGACTTCCCAGCTCTAGCAGATGAAGATTAGCTCTTCTACCAGATTTCCAACACACAAACTTTTATGAACACATAGAAGTTCACCTCCCATGTTTTCAAAAAGTGATTATAGCATCAATTTATATTAAATGACCATTCCATATTTACCTTATTAAAACTATGTAATTATATCTGAGGCATATGCTGTGATTACATTTTCTTCTTTGTACAGATTTTTCTGTTTACTGGATTCACCAATTGCCTGATTTATTTGCTTGTTGACTTTTCGACGTACCTATTGCTTGCCATCACTAACTCCGAAAGATCTTTTAAAATATTCAGACACACCTGGTATTCCCTGGGGCTCACCCTCCTGGAACAATGTCCCTGTGAGGCCTCCTGCTCCAATTCAAATGGTCTCTTGCTAGGACTTCCCTCTTCTCTCTTCACTTGGATTCCCTGCTACCCAAGTCCTAAATATTCCTCTCTCTCGACTAATTTTGGAGAGTATCCTTCAGCAGGTTTCTGAATAAAGTATTTGTTAGATAATAATTTGGGCTGCATACTTCAATATTTCTTTATTCTCTCACACTTAACTAATATTTTGATTGAGAAGAGAATTCCATGTTAGAATTATTTTCTTCAGAATTTTGAAGTTAAGGGCGCCTGGGTGGCTCAGTGGGTTAAGCCGCTGCCTTCGGCTCAGGTCATGATCTCAGGGTCCTGGGATCGAGTCCCGCATCCGGCTCTCCGCTCGGCAGGGAGCCTGCTTCCCTCTCTCTCTCTCTGCCTGCCTCTGTCTACTTGTGATCTCTCTCTGTCAAATAAATAAATAAAATCTTAAAAAAAAAAAAAAGAATTTTGAAGTTAAATCTCTATTGAATTTCAGCTTCCTGGGATTCGATTGAGAATTCCCATGCTCTTCTGATTGCCAAAACTTCAAATGTGACTTTTTATTTTTCCCTATGGAAATGTTTAAAGATCTTTTCTTTATCCCTGGTGTCCTGAAATTTTGTGATGTGCTTTAGTGTGAATCATTTCAGATTTGTTGTGCTGGGCATTTGGCAACTCTTTTCTTTCTTTCTTTCTTTTTTTTTAGTTTTTAATTTTTAAAGTTTTAATTTTTAAATTTTTTAAATTTAAAATTTTTTTATTTTTTAAAGATTTTTATTTATTTGACACAGAGAGAGAGATCATAGGTAGGCAGAGAGAGAAGGGGAAGCAGACTCCCCGCCGAGCAGAGAGCCCGATGCGGGGCTCGATGCCAGGACCCTGAGACCATGACCTGAGCAGAAGGCAGAGGCCCAACCCTCTGAGCCACCCAGGCACCCCTAAATTTAAATTTTTAATTTTAATAATTAACTATTATGTTCAATTAGCCAACATATAGTACATCCTTAGTTTTTGATTAGCGTTCAGTGATTCATCAGTTGGGTATAACACCCAGTGCTCATCACCGCAGGTGCCCTCCTTAATGCCCGTCCCCCGGTTACCCTATCCTCCAACCCCCTCCCTTCTGTAACTCTAAATCGGGTTCCGGAGTCCACTGGCAATCCTTTCAATCTGAGAACACGTCTCTTAAGTCTGGAAAGTTTTCTTGAATTACTTCTTGAGTAATTTCCTCTTCGTTACCTCTGTTGTCTTTCTTGTAATTCCTATTTTTCACATGTCAAACTTTAATCTTCCAATTTTCTTATGCTTTATCTTTCTCCATCTCTTATTCTTTTTTTTTTTTAAGATTTTATTTATTTCACAGACAAGTAGGCAGAGAGGCAGGCAGAGACAGAGAGAGGAGGAAGCAGGCTCCCTCCTGAGCAGAAAGCCTAATGCGGGGCTTGATCCCAGGACCCCGGGATCATGACCAGAGCCAAAGGCAGAGGCCTTAACCCACTGAGCCACCCAGGCGCCCCTCTTATTCTTTTTGTTCTAATATCTGAGAGATATCATGTTTACATTTTAAATGTAAACACTTCTTAGACTTATCATTTCTTGTATAATTTTCAAGAGCTCTTATTTTTGGAATGTTCTTTATGTGCCCCTCTCTATTTCTCTCATGGATATATTACTTTCAGAGACTGCAAAAAACGTTTTTAATATTTTTCTTTTTCCTAGTTCGTTTTCTCCTTTTTTTCTGTCTTCCTCAACTGTCTGTTGATCCTTGGTCATGTGTGTATATTTAAGAGGGAGGCAGAGATGCTTATTGGAAGCACTAGAAGGTAGATAAGACTGCCAAGTGGTGGGACTCACCCAAGCAGTCAGAGAGGGCTTTTGTTTGATCTGTGCCCTCTGCCTCCTCAGTCTGGCTCTGCACAGACTGTGAGTGGTGTCCCTGCCAGCCCCTTGCACCACCTCAAGTCTGGCTCCTCTTGTTTCCTAGGTTCTCCTGCATGCAAGACTCTCCTCTTCTACTTCTGAGATCCCATTTCCTTCCAGACTCAGTTCACAGGTTAGCTCCTTGCTCCCTTCTTCATCCAATGTTACAGATTTTACACGGCTTCACTTGTTTCCTACTATTTAACATATGTCAGTGTTTCTTCCCTGCCTCAATGTGTGCTCCTAAGATCAGAGACCATTTCACATCCTTCTTGGTGTGGTACCCAATCAGTAGTAGGTGCTGAGCACCGGCGACTTTACTCCAAAAAAAAAGTCAACAGGAAAGAAGAGCCCTGTAGGCTGAGTGGAGAGATTCCTTCCCAAAACTTTTAACATGTATATGTTCTGTCACTTCAGCTTGGCAATGTTTTTTGAGTGCCTGATCTGTCAAGTGTTTTGCAAGAGACATTGAGGAGAACAATATTTGGTCATTTTCCTTCCACTGAAGGTTGTTGCTCCCTGGGGCTTACAGAGCCTACTGAGGTATGCTGTGTGGACAGATTCTGAGATGCAGCTTAAATAAATTGGTATTAACAATTTGACTCATCAGTAATTTACTTAAAAATAAATCAGATGGGTTTAAAGGCTATTCTTCTGCCATCACACTTGGCTACCGGATTCAAAAGAGAGGAGTGAAGTCCCTCCCTTCCCTGAGCCCCACCACCCCAGGCTCTCATGTGGGGAAACAACCCCCTTGTGAGCCCTTCCAGGACTATTCTGCCCATTGTATGTGGATATAAATTTTGTAACTGAGTCTGTCCACCAACCCACTGGAGCCTTTGACTCTCAGGAAAGGAGTAATGGACACTTGTCTCCACGGGTCCCTGGGTCAGCCTGGCTCCCAGTGTGCCTCTCCCAGAGCAGCTCTTTCTTACGGTGCCCAACGTCCCAGTTTCCCGGGGACTGATGGGGCCTCGGGATGTGGGATTTCAGTTTTACAAAACTGAAACAGGGGCGCCTGGGTGGCTCAGTGGGTTGAGCATCTGCCTCCGGCTCAGGTCATGATCTCAGGGTCCTGGGATTAACCCTTGCATCGGGCTCCCTGCTCAGCCAGGAGTCTGCTTCTTCCTCTTACTCATTTCAGCTGGAGGAATGGGCAGTGGTTGTAATCTGGACTGCCTGATTACATCTGATCCTAAGATGCCAGGTGCATGCCGGGTGCGGGACATGCACTAAGGGTGCATGTCCTGAACGTGAAACGTCGCGGATCTTAAAGCAATTTCAGAAGTAAAGTGGACACATGGTGGCTTAGGAGCGGAGTCCAAGCTCCGTGACATGCGGTGGAGGCACTGCCTGACCCGGTGGTGGGTTCACCGTGCAGCTTCACCTGCCACCACTCCAGCAGGACTGCACCGGGCCCCGAAATTTCTGCAGAGCCACGCACCTGTCCTTGCTCCTCCCCACAACTCTCGCGCGCTCCGACTGGAAAACCCGCCTAGCGGAGCCATGGGGACTCGGGGCAATGACCGTCCCCAGCGGAGCCATGGGGACTCGGGGCAATGACCGTCCCCGCCACCGTCACGGCAATGCCGACAGGCGGCCGCAGGGCCGGGAGGGCTCGCGGTGGCCAAGCGCTCTGCCGGCTTCGGGAAGTCCCCGCACTGCCC